TCTTGTGTTTAGAACAGGCAGCAATAAAACCAAATTATTTCAGCCGACGTTTCAACTTATATTAAGTCTTCATCAGGACTACAAAAATTATTAACATTAATTTTAAAATATAGGAGGCGAACAAATAACGAATTAATTAATATATAAATGTAGACAACTTCTAAAAGTCCCCTCATATTATACAAGTCATCGCAATATGATAAAATGTGAAGTTAGCAAAGATACTAAACTGAGCAGGGGGATTCGAGAGAGGCGGCGGCAAAGAATTAGGCAGAACGGTTGAGCACGGAAAAATAGATAGTAGATAAAAAGAGTTACATGTTAATATTTTAAGTAATATAAAATAATTCGTTTTACGAGGATTTTATTGACTTTATCTCAGAAGTGGATTAGGCCCTCAAGGCGCCTTTTAGCTTTATTGTTTACCAATAAGTATATAGTGTCGTGTGTTTTGCATTAATTTTTGCATACATTATCGGAACTTGGAGGTGATGAACTTAATGTGCGATCCGAAACACCACCGATTTCACAGACAATTGTAAGATCCATGGCAAATTAATTGCAGGAGTTACGAGAATCGGCAAGTACAGGCTCAATAGATACCAATAATAAACATGAAATAAATATGGAATGTATACCAAAGCCCAACTGGGGTTTCTTTAAAGATGATAGGTTGTTGTCAGATTTTAACCCGCAATGCGATTTAAATATTAGAAACTGGTTAAATAAAGTTAACCAGTGTGCACATTTATATCACTGGGATGAAATCACGACCATTTATTTAGGTCTAGGAAAACTGGAAGGTTTAGCACGTGTCTTGTATGACAGCTTAAAAAGTACTCAGTATAGTTGGCAACTATGGCAAGAAATGTTACGTACAACTTTTCCATCTAAACAAAATGTTTTATGAGTCTGCAGTGTATAAAACAAAAACAGGTCAAGATTTAAATACTTACTGTTTTTTTAAAGCTCAATAAATTAAAATTAAATTTTACAGACGAGCAAGTAGTAGACTGGATCATTGCAGGTATTTCGGATAATCAAATTCAGTTACGTGCTAACTTTAAATCTTTTTTCAGACTTTACAATCAGATAGTTTCAACGAAAAGAATACAAAAGTTTAGGAAAGATCAGTGTTTTTTATGCGGAGAGATCGGTCACAGACGTTTTGAATGTCCTCGGATAAAAACAACAAAATGTTATTTTTGCAAAAAAATAGATCACAATGAAAGTGAGTGTCGTTTTAAAGCAAAATCAATAAATCATATTTCTAAAATGTCTTCAAAAAAGTATTTACAATAAAAAGGCTAAAATTAAAAGTCACATAGTGGAATGTTTTATAGATTTAGGAAGTGATTCCACTTTGCATTGCGAGTTTCTTGCCGACAAAATAATCTTAGATGAACAAATAATTCTCAATAATACCGTAAAACTTAAAACGTTCGGCGGCGATAGTTATGTTGCGCCCAAATGTTAATATGACGTAGACAACAATCGATGGAGTAACTATAAAAACTATTGTTACGAATAAATATAACACCCTGTGAATAGGTATGTTATGATTTGTAAAGTTGTGTCCAAGGCCAGGCGCACTAAACAAAGTTTCAATAAAATAATAAAACGTGCAGTTGGACAAGGTTTTATTAATTCATAATATTAAAGTACGGGGTCAAAAAAAGATCAACAAGAACACTCTTGAAACTTGCAAGTGAATATTCGGGGAGTTCCTTTTGGTCTTTGTTGACGAGCGGCCGAGATTATTTGAATAAAGTATTTTCCTTTTTTTTGTTTCCGAAAGTAGAGTCACGGGTCGTGATTAGTTTTTGTTTTGTAAAATCATAGTGATAAAAGTAACGTATGCTCCCGCCAGCATTGCAGCCCAACAAATAGAATATAATGCTTTTGTAAGTAAATTGTCCCAATAAATAGAATATAATGCTTATGTAATTAAATAGTTTTAAGTAGTTATACATTGTAAGGAGCTCCTAAATAAGACATTTTCGCTAGTTTAACATTATAAATTGTAAATCGAATTTAAGACTGTTCGGTTAAATTTATTTTATATATTTATTTATTTTAAGGGTAACTAATGTGATTTTTTGCATAGGTTAATCCAGTTGATATGGTTTGTACAGCAGCCAATGTATGTGTTCAGCCTAGTGGAAGTCTCACAAATGTGGTCTCCCAAACAATCAAGTCAACTGCAGAGAATTCGGAGTCTTTTAGGAAATATGATGAAGGGGTTTCCACCTCGTTTAAGACCCTGGAGAACCACATAAAAACCATCGAGAAGACCCTTAGTACCTATAGGAAAGGGTTAAAGGAGTACACGAGTGGACAGGATGATTTTTTTTAGAAATACAGGAAACTCAATTTAGGAATATAAAAAATATAATTTACCTTTCTAGGGCTGCCACGCGACAGAAACAGAAACAGTGCAAGAATTTATAAATAATATTAGGAATCTTACCTCCTGCCCCTCGATTGATATCGGTGGGTACGATGTAGATACCATGTTCTTCATATAGAACATAATTTTAAGTTCCGGTTTCATTTATCTTCTTTTCCATTGAGGTAACCTGTTCGCTTTCATGGCAGTTCCACAGGCAGCACATATACAGGAGAGACGATGTACAACACTATCCAGTTTGGGATGCTGATCCTGGCGGTGATAGCCCTCCTGGGATATATGGTGGTGAAACTAGTGCTACACTGGAAAGAGTACAGCAAGGCACAGCCAGCTCCTAAGAACAGAAGAAGGTTTGTGATCCAGATGGCAGACGAGCAGCAGAGCACCCTGGATGATGGACAGGTCCATTCCTTCACTGTTAGAATCCTGGGAGAGGACACCACCGATGGCAGTTCTTTATCCTAAGGCAAGTGCAATGGAATTAGTGTGATTGGTTGTATGCATGAGTTATGAAAGAAACTGTGGCAAACTTAAATCACTTTTCAAATTTTACTAACAGTATGCAGCCACAGTTTAAACCTTGACACAGGTTCCTCCACAGTATTACCTGGGAAAGCGCGCCCAGGCTAATAAGGGAAATTATTGGAATGAATAAGTGTATAATGAGAGATGGATAAACGAGAGGATATAAGGAGAATGCCTGACGAATAGATGAGAATGTATGACCTTCATAGTGTAAACGTAGTAAACGTGAAGTGGGGGTGAAGTTGATTGAGAAAACGTAGTTTTTGGGGATCCTGTGTAAGGAAGAAAAAGATGTAAATAATATAACAACCAACCACAAAAAAAAATTTACGAATGAGTTTTCCTAAATTTTTTTTGGCCTTTGAAAAATCCATTATAGACTAACCGTATTTAGATCAGTGCACTATACTTAATATCGAACATTTTTTTTAAATAATTTTTTATTTGAATCATAGACACTTGATTGAATTTTTTGTATTTATGAAACTATTGTTTTTTCTTTATTCTTATTAGTAAGTGTGAAAAAATGTATATTTTTTATTCTGGGCATAATAGGAGAATGTTCCTCTGCTCTTGTTTAAATGTAATAATAATAATAATAAGTAGGAAATAAATTTTGAAAGAGCAATAACAACAATAACCAAATAATAACAGAACAGAAACAGAAGAAAAAAATATTTGTGAAATAAATTATGTGAAATAAATTATGTAAATGGTATCGTGTTAGCGTTTAATGTAAATATTGGGCTCACAATAATTGTTATTTCTCCAGAATAAGGTCAATAGTTTTAAATATTGGAACAATGTTGTTGTATGTACTACCTGTATTTTTTTTCTTTTACATATCCTGGATAAACCGACCTGGGGGACTCTGCACAACGTAACAACCACACATCAGCGGAGGTGAAAAAGGATGATTTGGGCCGCTGGCGTATGATCGAAACTCAGAAAGATAGGCTGTTGAATGGAGTTCAACCTTTACTGGATGAGGTAAGCTGCCAAGATTGTACATGACAAATATAGAAGGAGGTTAATGAATGGAAATAGGAAATGGATGAAGAAATTAAACATTAAACAAAAGATAAAAGTACTTACCACAAAAAGAGATAATCCAAACTTCAGCAGCACCAAAAGATTCACTTATATCAAGTAAGTTTGTATCAAATCTGATTAATAAAAAACTTGAGGAACCTTAGATCCCGAAATAAAACTTTGAGTACAGTAATTCACATCGAACGAGAGCGAAGGTACCTTTCACTGAATAACCGAAGCACAATAGACATTTTTCTTGGGAACGACACGACACACAGAGGAGAATGAAGCCAAATTAAATTAAACCACAACTGCAATACGAGTAAATCAACCCACGATGTAAGCCAGCTGATAATGGGAAGTTATACTTCACATATTTCCACGTCCGACGGATCAACCACGGTCATCCGGCGAAAATCACAGTCCTATTCTTTCCTTATCAGGAGTTTCGATAAACGCGACAGGCCTGCATGACTTCACATCCTGTCTCTTGATGTAACTTGACACCCTGAGCGAAGGCAAATCGAGTTGGGATTCTTAGAAAGTGTTAACCAGCAGAGTCGGACTAGCCCAGTGTCAACGGACGAAATAATTGTTATCCGAAAAACTATATAAATTTTTTGTTTTGTAAAATAAATTTTTGAAGTAGTACATAGTAGGGTATGATTAGTCAATAGGTAGGACAAGGGTCGAGGGCGACCCTTTTCCGGGGCGGAGGCACAGGTTACGAATAAATATAACACCCTGTGAATAGGTATGTTATGATTTGTAAAGTTGTGTCCAAGGCCAGGCACGCTAAACAAAGATTCAATAAAATAATAAAACGTGCAGTTGGACAAGGTTTTATTAATTCATAATATTAAAGTACAGGGTCAAAAAAAGATCAACAAGAACACTCTTGAAACATTGCAAGTGAATATTCGGGGAGTTCCTTTTGGTCTTCGTTGACCAGCGGTCGAGATTATTCGAATAAAGTATATTCCTTTTTTTGTGTCCGAAACTTTGGGATTACGATTTTGAAGTAGAATATTGGCCGAGTACAAAAATGTCACATGTAGATTGTAGAAATGACATAACTATACTGAATTCCTATAATATTATGTATAGTTTAAGAAAGGAATTAGAACAAAGAAAAAGTGATAAGTTCTTTGGTTATGAATCAAAAATGAGATTACAAAAAATTGAAAAGGCATCACCCGAAATATTCAATACTGTTATCAGTAATTTTTCACTTTTTATTGATACGAGTTTAAATTATTTGAAAAAATGGTTTGATTTGAGCGAAGACATCTGGCTTTCAATACTTCCTAACATATCTTTTAAAAATGAGGGTAAATTTGAACATTTTGAAATGGTAATTAAAAAAGCTAAATTACAAGATATTAAATATAAAGATGGACAATTTATATTCTCAATAAGACTTAAAGAGATCCAAAGAATATTTACTAATAATGATAAAAACATTCGAAGAAAAATACACGTGACAATTCTTAAAAATGCATCTGATAGCTTACGAAATATAAAATATTTGTTATTTACTCTCTGTACTCTCCACTTTATCTTTCACCGAGAGTTTTTTTGGTAATGAAGAAAGAAAAGGGAAACAAATCGTCGATAAATTTAATTAAAAACTATTTATTTAAATTTAAGTTTTGATTGTAACACTAGCTTGGAAACTTCCAGATATAGTAAGAAATTGTTGACTATATGTACAGGTAACATTCTCAATATATTATTTTTTGTTTCTAAATCCAAACCACATTAAAATGTAATGACCAATGACCAATGACAACTTGACAGACATGAAATATTTGTTAAAAATAAGAAAAAACGAGAGATGTTTTCTGCAATGTTACACATATGAAGACACAAGTTACAAAGAGTGCCACATAAGAAAATAATCGATTTCTACTGTAGAAAACTATAAATAGATTTCTACATGACACAGAGTACCACCTAGACTTGCTTTTCTTCAATTTTTCTGTCAATTAATTTCGATGTGGTTGCCTAGACAACACTACACTAGACTAAATTTGTTTGGTTTTCGGTTTGCAGTCAGAATCAACGGATGAAGTTTTAACAGACGCAGAAAATTGTCTTTATAAACTCTAAAACAAAACTGTAGAGTCATATTGTTAAATAGAAAACGTTCTGGTGAATTAGAATGAATGCAGTACCATACATTTACAAATGTCTCCTTAAAAAAGCAAGAGTATGAATAATTTAATAAATTAGTATCTTCTACAGAACAAATTTTGTTAAATACTTTAGAAAGGGTTGTTATAAGAGGTAAGCATTGATGTACAGGGTAACCCCAAATTTCTTATTAAAGAACGCGATAAGTATGTGCCTAAAGATAATAAATACCTTTTTTCTAAAGCAAATTCGTTATATCTTTGACTGGATACGAAACATTGAGTTGTGTGGCTAAAAATCCATCATCAATAACATTAACTCATTAGCAAAAGCATCTTGCTACACTTTCCAAACTCTTTAATTTATCCAAACAAGAAATTGAACAATCAGCAAGCTTAAACGGGCACACACCAGGGGTACATAGAAGTTCATATCGATTACCTAATGACGTGTATCAAGCGAACAAAATATCTAAACTTTTATTAATAAAGTCGTTGAATGAAAAGTTTAAAGGACCATTAACGGTTATAGATGTTATTGAAAATGATCGATACCGTATAAAAGATGACCTAGGGACTAAACGATTGGTCATGTATACCTACTGAGAGCTAAAAAAGCACTCAGGTTGCACTAGAATACATAGACGCAGCAAACGAAAAAGAGTCAGTAAAAAATAATAAACAAGAATATTCACTGTAACCTGTTATTTCCACGCGGCTGTGCTTGGTCACTCTTGTAACCTCTTTTTGAAATCGGCCAGAGTCCGTAATTACAGTGCACGATGAATGTGTGTGAAGGCTTAGCGCTCGAATTATAGCGGCTGGAATAAATACCTCGCTCCAGTCAGATTATTTGTAATATACTGACCGTCCTCACCAGTCAAACAGCTAAAATTATTGTGTGTTTAGTTGAAATTGGAATTTTAGATCTATTCTCTATGTTATATTGACAGCTATTTTGTATGAGTATAATTAATATACTCATGTAAAGTTTCAGTATTAAAAAATGCCTAGTTCTTGTTGTGTAAAGGGCTGCAATTGCAGACAAGGACCTAGGGAAAGAATATATTTTCGTTATCCGAGAGAAGAAATAAGGTAAGAAATGTGTATAGTCCTTTGCTGCATTTATGCGAACTGCGTAGGTTTCTTCTTCTCTATAAGTTTTTAAAAAAGTAATATTTTTGTATTTTGGATCTTTACAGATGCTAAGGTTAAAAAGACGTTTTAAGGTTTGTTGGATCAGCGTTATGACAAATTGGCAATATGTGATTTATACTTTACAATTCACCATCTCCAAGGCAAATGTATCAAACCTGTTTTAAAATATAATGCGATACCCTCTCTAAACTTTAAACAAATATGGATGCCTCCATTCAAACTGATTGCGCAAGCCTAGAATATGCATACCTACAGACAGATTTTAACTTTGATCATATGAAGTGCAGCGACGCATTTTCGAAAACTGATACATCCATATTAAATAGTAGATCTACACAAACAACAGTCATACTTTCTACAAATACTCCGAGAACAACAATCTTAAAGAAAAAAATAAAAAGTTTGAAAAGGGTATCAAGTAGTGCATCATGGTCAAAGGCTCCAAAATATCACAGGCAGCTGGAGACATATATTACAATTGAAGATGTGCATAGGTTTTTAGATGATAAGTATGCCAACTTATTAAAACTCAATTAGGTTTATTAAATAAATCCCCAAAAGGTATTTGGTATTCTGAAGAATTAAAGCATTTATAAAAATCGACATGTGTTACCGTTTCGATAATGGTGCGTGGGGTTTTCCTCACCTGTAAGTCAAATGGCACCATAAATCATCTTTAAGTCGCCCCGGAGCGCCACAGCAAATAATAATAATAGCCATCTCTTTCTCTACACAAGTCACTCAGTCGGCTTCAGGAGTTGAAATTCACTCGTAAGGGGGTAAATTATGGAGAATATTATTTATTAAACCTAGCGTTTTCACAGAATAATTGAATGACCCTACAACCATCAGCGAGAGCTCTTCGTAAAAGATATTATTTGATGGTAAAAAACAATTGAGGTTAAGATTTGTTCTTTACCAAAAATATCATTTTTAAATAAATTTAAAACAATCTACAATATAGAAATTCACGTCCCCGGTAAAGACAAATGTAAAATATGCGAGACGTATAATAATAAGCAAGATCTGATGACAAATACTGAGAAGGGGCCTGTATTCCTTATAACATTAATGAAACAATTTTATAAATATTCTAAATAAATAAATAAAAAAGTTGCAGAGAAAAGTCCAGAAAAACTAATAGTAACTTTTGATTTGTAACAAGTATTGGTTTCGCCACATTCAGACAGTATGTTTACGGGATTTTATAGAAAATATGCTGTTTATAATTTTATTGTTTAAGACAGCTTGTAACATTTATATTTTCACACGAATATTTTATTTAAATCTACGAAGAATGTATTTACATGTACCAACTTTTTCATTACTATTAATATAAAACAATTAGCTGGAGTCGTAGCAATTAAAGTATTTCACTTCTTTGGAATGTTTGGCAAAGACAGTTTTATATATTTGATTTGATAACTATTATATACTTTGAATTGTTCAATAGTATTTAGACCGCAGTAGAGGGTTTGATAAAACTCTGAAACAGAAATCACAATTAAATAACTTTCTTTTGATCACTTTACAATACATTACCATCTATAATTATTTTGTTGTGCATATAATTCAATTCTGGTAGATATATTTTTATAATATCCAATTATTGTTTATAGACCATTTTAGGTCACGTGGTTTTGACATGACGTTGACATTCACTGAGGGGCATACATATTTTATTTTGCTATTGTTTTTTATATAGCCTTAACGTGTGTACGCTGTTTTTTGGGCTATTTTCAAAATATTACTGTATATTGTAACTTTTTTTAACAAAAATGTTTCGTAGTGAGTATTATTGTTCTCTTCGTGGTGACGTAAAAGTTCGTGATAACGAAAAACTAAAAATAATAGACAATATTGATCCCTACTGCCTGAGGCATGATGACTTATTTGTAGATATAAGTTTATTGACGTCAGTCAACTTAATCGACTTAATGAACTATCTTGTTTTAACCAATAGTTTTTATACTGGGCAGCAGTTCAAGGCTTACAAATCACTACAAGCTTTTAAATATTATGAAGCTGGGTATGTCCAAGAGGTTTTGGCTAAAAGGATGGAGTCGAGTACTTGTGTTATTCTAGCCAAAGTAAGTTAGTTTATATATTTATATTAGGTATATGATTAAAGGAAATTGTATTCTATAAAAAAACATTACAGGTCATGCATTCTCAAAAAAGGAATGAAAAACCTCTTCTTGTATGGATTGTTTTATTATTTGATGGTGCAATTTCCACTGGTCATTGTAACTGTATGGCAGGTTTGCGTGAAGTTTGCAGCCATAAAGCAGCAGTAATTTTTTCTTGAAGCACGCCTGTTGGTGGTAACATCCAAGTTTCATGTACTAAGTTATTGGCTCAGTGGCCAATACCTGCTGCTAAACGTGTGGAAATGATGCGCATACGGGATATGAGCTGGGCAAAAAAAAACAACAAAACCAGTAAGCACATCATCCTTAATGTGTACACATATAGAAGAAGATGAACTAAATGTTCTAATAAGGGATCTCCAAAATATTGGAATTGAATCAGCTATTGGAAGGATTAGGGAATCGTTTGCAACAGAAATGATGAAGCCTGCAACACAGATTCTGAGTGGCTTGCAAGATCTTTTTAATGAAGAGTTACTTTTAAAAACATACGAAGAAATATTAAAGATATCAGAGGCCACAGACATTAATATAAATGAAAATGATGTGAAGACAATTGAAGAAGCAACTCGTGGCCAAACTAAAAGCAATGCCTGGTTTAAGTTTAGGGCTCGCCGAATCACTGCTTCTAGAGCCAAATTAAAGATATACGTTATCCACAAAAAACAATATTTTATTCTAAACAGACCAAGTATGGCATTAAAAATGAAAGTACTGCTCTACAAAACTATTTGGAAAATATTGAAAAGTACCATGAAAATATTGAAGTGAATACTTCGGGCTTTTTTATTTCTAAAAGTTATCCACAGGTTGGCGCTTCACCTGATGGATTAGTTTCATGTACATGCCATGGTCCAGGATGTGTTGAAGTGAAGTGTCCCTATTTATTGCAGGATTTAACTTTGGATGAATATGCTAAAAAGAAAAGTTCATGCCTAGTACAAACTAGTCCTGATAATTATTCTTTAGACCGTAATCATCTATATTTTTATCAGGTACAATTGCAGATGTTTGTAACAGAATTGAGCTACTGTGATTTTGTAATTTCGTCAAAAAAATAAATATTGATTGACAGAATATATTTCGATAAAGAAATTTGTCATCAAAATTTAAAAAGATCAATCGAGTTCCATAAATTTGTAATAGAACCAAAAATTTTGAGTAGGTATTTTACTATAAATGAAGGTTTAGCAAAGGTTCAAACATGGTGTAAC